ATATATATATATATATATACACATATATAAATACAAAGACATATATAGATAAAATATACAAAGGGGATAAATAGAATAAATAGGAATAAAAATAAAAATAAAAATACAAGTGAATTGCACATTTCAAGTATGGTATATAATATTAATCATCGTCATTGCATTTGATAGTTATGTTTACATTTTACACACCGTCCCAACTACTGTGGAGTTTGGGCTTCATTTGCTTGATCTATGTGTCAAATACTGACGTTAACCTTTGTCCTGTGTGTGTGTCCCTGTGTGCAGACGAAAAGCAGAGGGAGAGAGGACGATGATGATGACGAAGGTGAGCAGGAGGAAGGAGAAGACGATGGCGATAGTGCTAACGGAGATGAATCCTGAATGTGAAACACACACACTCACATTTCTCCACACCAGACTTGTACGCAGTGGTCATGTCTGCTGAACTGACTGGACAGTTATTTACATCATATAGTAGCTATCACTCCTCTCATGCACAAATTCACAGATATGAGAAGTACTTGTTTCAGAATTTTCTTTCAAGTCGGGAAGGTAAATATACTCTTTCTTTTTTTTTTATTTTGACTTTTTATATGAACATGTTTCTGCTTCTTTCACATAAACAGCAAACTCAGCCGAGCTTAACTGTAACGTTTTATGTGTTTGAAGGATTTGTCAAAACGGATTAAAGAACTGATTTAAAAATCGAGTTCCTTACCAGCTATTAGCTAGCTAGCTCAAGTGCTGCGGTTTGAACTAGAGTGTAGTCTTTAATGCTGGTGGGCTCCTGCTAGACGTTTTAACATTTAAAATGTATTGCTGATCCAGCTGCTGCACAGCTGCCTCCTAACCAGCAGGTGGCAGTGTGTCCCAACAAGTGGCCCACACAAAGGCCACAAAGAGTACTTCTTTTGTTCTCAGAAAATCTTGGACTTCTGCTTGTCGGATAATGCCACAAGCATGCGCTCGTTTGTGGCCACACAGATCCCCACTGGTCCTGAAATAGTCTTGTGTGCTGCGGAGGTGTGATGACCTTTACTGACCTTGACTTGTGTAATGCAGTGATGCTCCATGTTTGTTTGTGTCCGTTTCTTTTGTTTCCTGTTTCATCTGACTGCACTGGTAAAAGTGAATAAACATGTTTTCCAGTGTGGAGCCTCTGTGAGCCTTTCATACAGTCCAGATGCACACAGTCGCTGTGACATTCAGGTGGGGCTAAATCAATGAACTGAACTGAGAAACTGTGCGTTATGCAACAGTGTGCTGAGTTGACAGGTTGAGGCTGGAGTGAGCAGGATTTTTATAACTAATTTGGTATTTTCTCATATACCTCCAGGTCCATGTAGTTAGTTAGCTCTAAAATTCCTACAAAGGTTTGTTAACAGCTGTGCACACTGACCCATCACATCACACAAGACTTGTGACTCAGGTGGTCGAGCGGCTTGTCTACCAATTAGATAGAAAGCAGATTGATCGCCGGCTCCTGTACTCTTCAGTCTGTCTGTGAAGGTTCTCAGTCATCCAGGTCATCGTAGTCAAAGGAGCTTGCAAAGAAAAGCGTCTGGACTTCTTTAAAAGAAGTCCAGATGCTTCTTTTAAAGAAGTCCAGACGTTTTTCTTTGCAAGCTCCTTTGACTACTCTTCAGTCTGCATGCCAAAGTGTCTTTTGGGCAAGATGCAGAAGCCCGAGTTGCTCCTGATGCATCCATTGGAGTGAGTGTGTGAACGTGAAAGTGCTGTATACTGTATTTTCCGCACTATACGGCGCACTTAAAATGCAATTTTCTCAAAAATATACAGTGCGCCTTACAATCCGGTGCGCCTTATGTTTGAATTCTGGTTGTGCTTACTGACCTCGAAACAATTTTATGTGGTACACGGCGCTCAAAAATCTGTCAAAATTTTTTTTGGTGCGACTTTGGTAATCTACGAAGCCGCACCGCTTAATAGATTGTTGGAGCATTATGGCTACTGTAGTCAGGAGCCTCGCGGAGTAATCTGGGTCCAAAACGTCGTCCGCTTCAGGTCCCAAAATCAAACGATCACTACGGCATCACTGAGTTAAAAACTGTCTAAATTCTTTCTTCTTTAATAAAATGATCAGCATTGCTGCTGTACCAGGTGTAACGATTAAGTTTAATATCCAGGCAGAATGTATTAAATTCAACTGAGTTAGAAGTTAGCAGGAAGTTAGCTCACTTGTTTCCACCTAAACATGATGTTTAGGTGGAAAATAAATCAAGGCACTAAAACACATCATTCCCATCATTGAAAACTTAGAAATCGGTTTCTATGACAGGTAAGCAGTTTATAAGTAGTAAGGTTTAAAACTACTTAAAAATACACACACACTCAAAGTAACTGGCAAAAGTGTCTATTTTGAGTCACTTTTGCCAGGTGTTCTGGGAATCCATCCTACCCGTTGTTTCTACGCATGCGCACAACATGAAATTAAGTGCTAAACCGTCCTACCTTTGTAAATGTGACGTACAAGCATACTTTAACAGCTATAATTAAGTGGCAAATCATCTTACCTTTGTTAATAAGAGCTAGAAACCTACTCTGACGGGTAACATTACATGCCAAACCATGCTACCTTTGAGAATGTGACCTACAAGCATACTTTAACAGGTAAAATGAAGTGGCAAACCATCCTGGCTTTATGAAT